CCCCTTCCCTTATGGCTCTCACACGCCTCCCCTCCCCACCAAAGTCTGCTCTCATGCTCTTTATCATAACTCCCAGTTCAAAACATACGTAAATATAACAGCAACGCAAACCCTTATTTTGCAAAGTAACTGAGAATAGCTTCCTGGGCTCTATTTTCCTAATCTGTAAAATGGAGATAGTAATAGTGACTGTCTCAGAGGACAGATGTGAGGATTGACCCAGTGAATGTAGGTAACATGCTTAGAGCAGCGCCTGGTTTATAGAGCGCTCAGAAAATGAAAGGGTCACTATTTCTCTCTGCCTTCAGTTCTGGCTGGGCCTCTACCCGACTGCTCCCCACTCCCCCACCCGCCTGTCCCCTGCCAACTACCTCCTTCAGACAGCAGCTGACAGGTGCTGTACTCTGAGGGCCTTTCCCCGAGGACGTCATCAGCCTGGCGGCTTAGGGGTAAGGAGGGGCTGGGCGGGGCGGGGCGGGGTGGGGGATGATTTCTCCCAGGCTGAGCCACATCCTGCCAGGCACATCAGGTGATCTGAAGTCTAGACACCTGGCATCCCCGCCCTCTGTTGCCTGTGTCCAAGGAACCTGTTTTGCAGGCAAAGAAAATCAAAGGTGGCTGGTCTACCTGGTTCCTCTCCTCCCACTTCAGGAGAGAGAAAACTGAGAGTGAGCTGCCCGTGAGGGAGCCCTGGCGCCTACGTGCCCTGCACTGGCCTGACTCCAGGGCTGAGTGACCGCATGACCTTGGCGTGGACTGGGTTTTCCTAGGGACAAGTCCTAACCCGCAGGCTCTGCGGGTGAAGGCTCTGTGGGTGGCCTCCTGAGGCAGGAAGACCTGGACCTGTGCCCCACCCCACCTCACCCCACCTCTCATGATGAGTGGAGCCCGCAATTCCAGGTCTCAGCTGGTTGGGAGGGAGGCAGTCGGTGACCTCAGACCAAGTTTAAAGGGCAGGAGCTCAGAGAGATATGAGACTTGCCCTAAAATCATACAGCTAAAAGGGCCAAAGTCCACTGCCCTGAAAGGGGTGACACAGTACAGTGGACAGAGCCCTCAAATAACCTCTGTCCACCCTCTTCAGGGCATCGGTTGGGATTTATGTATGTATTTTTATGTGCAGGGGTTGTTCTAAGCAGTTCACAAATATCAAGCCTCCTAAAAGGTGGATATGTATTAGCTTTCTTTTTACAGAAGAGGTAACCAAGACTCAGAGAAGTTAAGTAACTTGCCCAAGGTCACGCAGTTCACAGGTGGCACAGCCAGGGTCTGAACCCAGGCCTGTTTGCCCTGGGTTCTGTGATTTGGTGTTGAACCCAACTCCCTCTCTTCCTAACCAGAGGGGCCCATCAGAATCGCTTGTGGAGCTTTCTCAAAATGCAGACTGATGAGCCCCTACTCCAAAGACCAACTTAATCCACATTGAAGGAGATTTAAGTGGCACAGTTCTGCAGATGGGCACTCTTGGAGACGCACTGATGTGTTTGAAAGTGACTTTCTGGTCTTGGCGCCCCACAGGCACAAGGAGGAGGAGCCCACCCAGGGCTTTATTAAGGCGCTGGACATGCCCTGGGTTCCAGGAGCTGAAAAAGGGACCAGAATTCCGGCAGGGACCCTGTCTCCGTCT